TATTTAAGCAAAATCACCGATCGTCACTTCCACCTACCTCTCCTCCCAACTACCTGCCCTCATTCCTCTAGCCGTAATGATTTTATCCAAACAAGAGAGAGAAGAGACCACTCTTTCCCTCTCTTCCCCTTCGCCCTTAACTCTCTCAATCTTCAACAGGATCTGATATGAATCATGGGCTGGAACTAGATGCGTTCTTGGACATTTTCCATCAAGACTTTCCTTCCTCTTTTTACTAACTTGGATAGATATTTGCTCTTTTGTGCTTCTCTGATTGCAAGAGCATCTAGTGGCATTGGTGCGGAAATTGCTCGTGTTCTTGCAATGTGTGGTGTCCATGTAATCATGTGTGTAAGGATAGGTCCGAGGTCCTTAACCTCGGATGTACTGTAACAATTCTTTAATAGCCGAAGTGAAGTTAAATCCAGCACTTCCGGTCAAATGGCTACATGGTAAATACAGTGGACATGCCCACACCTGATCTATCACACAATTTCCCAGTCCCCAATTTGTTGTCGGTCCCGAATTTACCGCCTTAAGGGATACGTCACACTCCGATTATCCTACTAAGCAAGCCACGTGGATATCTCACGAAGGCCTATAAATACCCCCCAGTGCCACCTCAAAAAGGTAATTGAAACCAACGTAAAGCTCCTTTTTCATTAGTCTAGAGATAGACCCAATTATTGTTGACTTAAGCATAGGAGTGTTTACCTCGAAGGCCCACCTCGGGGCTTTGCAGGTTCATCCAAAGTGAAGACGTAGACTGAAGAAGGATCTTTGGTTTGGTGCAATTACATTGGCGCCGTCTGTGGGAAACCGAACTGGAAGCTCTCTTGTTGCTCTCTCATCATGGTTAACACTTGATAAGTTCGAACTGGAAATCAATCTCAGCCTCTTGGACAAGGTCAACTCCCCAACAACCTTCCACCTCACCTCCCACCTCAGATCCCAAATATGTTCCCTCCTATTGATCATGCAGAAGGAGGAGATGAAAACCAACCTCACAACTCAGCTCACAACTCAACTTCCACCACCAATCAAGACGTAGTTACAACTCAGCTTGCTGCCATGCAACAACACTTTAGTGTCTTTCAATTAGTATTGGCTTAGCTCCTAGCTCGAAATAATCCTGGCGATCCCCTCATCAATTTACTTAACCTTGCTCCACAACCCCCAGCTCAACAGCAAGACCCTCAACCAGTTCAGCATGCTCTTGCTCTCAGTGAGTATCAGGGTCAGTCTCACATAGCCCCAGATCAACAACCTCTACCTGATAATGTCACTCGACGTCTGGACAGCTTAGAAAAACTGGTAGCTGAACAACAAGGTGCTTCACCTCCACACCATAATACTGACTCCATACCTCATCCTTTGAACACCAACATCACATTGGAACCTTATCTTGCTAGCTTCAAAATTCCTCAGCTCGAGACATATGATGGGACAAAAGACCCCGATGACCAACTCCATGCCTTCTATTCATGTATGCAAGCTTAGAACGCCTTTGATACGTTAATGCGTAAGATCTTTTCCTCTACTCTTTGTGGTAATGCCCGAACTTGGTATTATAGTTTGCCCCTAAGATCCATCAGCTCTTATTCAGAAATGGCATCTGCTTTTGCCACAAATTTTTCCAGTAGAAGGTTGATTAGGAAAACTACTTTTGAATTGATACGAGTCAAATAGAGGGACGGAGAATCAAAGTAGTTTATACCGTTTCGTATCGACTGGTACGGTCGGTATGTACCGGTTTTGAAGCTTAGCCGAAACGGAATAAGTTAAAATTTCGTTTCTGTCAAATTTCGGTGTACCGGCCAAAATTTCGGGTACCGGCCGGTACACCGAAATTTGACCGGTACATTATGCAAGAAGGAAAAAAAAAAAAAAAGAATCCTTATCCAAAACGACGTCGTTTTGGTTGGGGGCACCTTTTTCTTGACTTAACCCTGCAATTTCAATTGTGCCTCTCCTATTTTCTCCAGCAACCGTCGATCTCCAGGTTCAACCTCCAGCCATTGCTCTATCTCCTTAAGCTTCTTCATTAAATGCTGCACTTTCAAATCGCGCCTCTCCTCTATTCTCCAGCATCCAACGGTCGTTGAGGCTTGAGCTCCACTCCTCGCAGGTGGTCCAGCCACTCCAGCCACTGTCGACGGTCCAAATCTAGCCACTACTCTCTCTTTCTTCACTCTCCAGCAGCCCAGCTCCATCTTAGGTATGTTCACATTTTCATTCCGAGGTTACTCTTTTTGTTGGTATTGGTATGCATACTGCTGTTGGCTATATAGTCCCCTGCCCGTATATTAAAAAAAAAAAAATTCAAATCATGTCCATGTCGAAGTGGAACTCCTCAGTCCTAGTATAAAATAGAAATGCAGGTGTCTTGGACCTCTTGGTATTTAGGCATAGTCCCATGCCCGTGTATTGGAGATTTGGATCTCATTTTGTACAATTGATTGCATCTACTAGAATCTGATTGTTGAATCATGAATGCCGTGCCTTTAATTTTTTTGGTTGAATGCCGACTGCTGATTGTTGAATCATGAATGCCTACTGTTGAGTGCTACTGGTGAATGTGCATTTCTTTAAGTAGTTTTGTCATTTTTAGATCCATTTCTATTTCTCTGCAGTTTCATGATTTAATTAGCAAGGTTGTTATGATATTTTTCATTTTTGTTGTGTAATTATTTGTTTTTTTCCTCGGGGTTGTTTTTGTAGGATATCATTATGAATACTAATGGTTCAGGGACTGCTACTAGTGATTCTATTGGATTTGTTCCTTCTAAAACAGATGATCCTGCTTGGGCGCATTGTTTGATTGTCCCAGGCAAAAGGAATCAAACAAAATGTCTATATTGTGATAAGCTCATACAAGGGGGTGGAATTACTAGATTGAAAGAGCACCTTGCTGGAATTAAAGGCAATGTTGGTGCATGCAAAAAAGTTTCAACAGATGTAAAATGGCAAATGCAATAGTTGTTAAGTGACATAAGGAAAGGGAAAGAAAAAAGAAAGAGACTTGGAGATATGGTTGGGAGTCAATGTGGGTCACAAACATTTGTTGAAGAAGATCATGAAATTGAAGAGATCCCTCAATCTCAATCACATGTAGCACAACAAAAAAGGAATAGTAATTCCTATTTTGTACCAAGGACAACTCCTAGAGCACAGAAAAGTATTAAAAGTGCTTTGCAATCAAAAGAAAAACAAGAAGCTGCTAGGATGGCTATTGCTAGATGGTGGTATGATGCTAATGTGCCTTTCCATGCTGCACGATCAAAATATTATTTGCCAATGTGGGATGCTATCACATCTATGGGACCAGGTTTCAAGGGACCAAGTTATCAGGATTTGAGGGGTCCTCTCTTAAAATGTGCAGTAAAGGAGGTTAATGAATGGCTTTTATCCTTGAAGTCAACATGGAGTACTAATGGTTGTTCAATTATGGCTGATGGATGGACAAATCAAAGACAACAACCAATAATCAATTTTCTTGTTTATTGTCCTAGAGGAAGTATGTTTTTGAAGTCCATTGACACTTTTGGTTTGACAGAGGATGTTGAAATATTGGAGAGGATGTTTGATGAAGTGGTGAAAGAAGTAAGAGTGGAGAATGTTGTACAATTTATAACAGACAATGATGCCTCATATAAAGCTGTTGGGAAAAGGTTGGAAGCAAAGTACAACACATTTTTTTGGTCTCCTTGTGCTGCCCATTGTATTGACTTGATGTTAGAAAATTTTTCTGATGCAAGATACTTTCCTATGATTGATACTACTATAGGAAAGGCAAGAAAAGTCACAAAGTTCATATATAATCATTCATGGGTGCTAGCATTAATGAGGAGAGACTACAGAAATGGGAGAGATTTGTGTCGTCCTGCTGTTCCGAGATTTGCTACTCACTTTTTGAGCATCCAATGTTTGTTGAAATTTAAGAAGGAACTTAGAAAAATGTTTACAAGTGATGCATGGGTTGGTTCTCGGTATGCAAGAAGCAGTGTTGGGAAAGGAATATGTGAAATTATCTTGGAAGATAAAGAATTTTGGTCTAATTGCATAGTAGTTGTCAAAATCAGTGAACCCTTGGTGAGAGTGCTTCGACTAGTGGATAATGAAGAGAAGCCAAGCATGGGCTACTTGTATGAGGCAATTGATAAGGCAAAGGAGACAATAAAAAAGAATTTTAATAATAGGTTGTCTCACTACATGCCTTACATTAATGTGATTGATGCTAGATTGGATAAGTAACTTTATAGTCCATTACATGCAACTGGTTGCTTTCTTAATCCAAGTATCTACTTTAAACCTAGCTTCAACAAACAAATTACTGTTACGAGAGGTTTGCTTAATACTTTAACAACATTGATACCGGATAAGGATAAGCAAGATCTTATTAGTTCACAACTTAAGGAGTATAAAAAAGCTACAGGGACCTTTGGCATGAGTTTGGCTATTCGTCAAAGAGAAAAGTTAAATCCAGGTAATTTTATTTCATCTTAGCTCTCTTTTCATTTTGTTTAAAAAGTTTTTATTTTACTTATTTCAATGCACATTGTATTTTATTGTTTTTATAGTTGCATGGTGGGATCAATTTGGAACAGATGCACCCGAATTGCAAAAGTTTGCAATTCGAGTGCTTAGCCAATGCATAAGTGCAACTGGATGTGAAAGGAATTGGAGTGCTTTTGATTTTATTCATTCTAAGAAGAGGAATAGGCTAGAGCATGAAAGGTTGAATGCCCTTGTGTTTGTTCGTTATAATTTGAAGCTTCGAGAAATGTATAATATCTTTAACATATTATAATTGCTTTATTTATTTATATTTGTTTTTTTGCATATACTTTATGCACGTTTATGTTTTATATAGAAATAAAACAAATGTTAATTGTGATTGTTGTTTGTTTATAGAATTATTTATAGGGGCAAAGAAGCAATGGATCCTTTTAGTCTTGACAATATTGACATATTAGTTGATTGGGTGGCTGAGGAGCCAACTCTTCTTGATAAAGATGATTATGATGTAGATTGGGCAGCAATTGATGAGTCTTTGCCAAATCAAATCCTTGATGATACTGATAGTATTGTTTATGATGAGGAAGATGTCCCACAAGTTCCTCTTGAAAATGAAAGTGAACAACTTTGGACTGGAGTTGGTGGAGTTACAGGTTATGGAATTCCTCCAGATGAGTATCCTTATAATTATTTACAAGATCATTAATTTTGTTGTTTATTTATAATTGTCACTTGACAGAAACAATTGAAGAACTCTTGTGATGAACCATTAGGTATCTGTTTCATCATTCAATCTTTTTAACTTTTATAAATTGAATGTGATTTGCTATCATCTATTTAATGATTGTCATTATCTTAATGTCTTTAACTTAAACCATCTAAAGTATCTTTGCTTGGGTTATAATGGGTTTAGGTTAATGGTTGAAAAAAAAAAAGGAATTACATTAATTTCTCTTATAAAAATATATTTATAGCGATAAATCCAAAACGGTACGCGAAAAATTCTGGTATTCGGTACGTACCGTTCCAGTAACAAAACCCGTACGCATGCCGGTACGGTATTGACTCTTTTGTGGAGAATCCCTGAAGAATTACATGAGCAAGTTCAATGATGCAGTTCTTGAAGTCAGCTCCTTCAACCAAGCCATGGGAATTGCGGTTGTAATTCAAGGTCTCCAACATGAAAGATTCAAAGATAGCTTAATCAAGCATCTTGCTGCTACTTTCAACGAGGTTAATGACAGATCGTTGAAATTCATAACTGCTGAGAAATATGCCCTATCACAGAAACCAGTTCTTCCCAAGAACCAAAACCCAAATTGGAGAGATAAGGGTCAGAGCAGAAAACGGATGAAGACAGTGTAAAACCGAGGTCCAGTGATGACCTCCACACCGAGATTCGAAAAACTGAACTCGATACCACCCCAGCAGGTTACTACTAAAGCACCAGTTACATGGACTTCTTTTAATCTGCCGAGGTCGCAGATATTCATGCAAATCAAGAATAAGATGGATTTGAGGCGACCAGGACCAATGAGAAGCTCCGCTGCTACACGTGATCATACTAGATATTGTGATTTTCATCAAGATCATGGTCATACAATGAAGCAGTGCAATAGTCTGTGGTCCAAATTGGAAAGTTTAGCTCAGAAAGGCATGCTGAATGAATACATCCAGTGAACCGAGCAACCGAAGTTTGTTAGAGAACAGGGGGCACAGCCACAGGGATCTCGTAATGCAGGAAACAAACAAGGCGTGGGATATCAACAAGCTCC